GTTAAGGGTGTAATGAACACTGGATATTTCTTTGGGGCCCCCAGCATTGGAACTCCCAGTCCTGCATTTAGTGAATTCTCTCAGGTTATACATCTTAGATATAGGGCCCATCATCCTCCACAAAAGCTGAAAGTAGTAGAGACTTCCTTTGCCACATCCTTTGCTAGAGCATTGGCATGTGGACTGGGCTCGACCAGTCAGACACACATGCCTCAAAGCTAGCTAGACAAACTGGTTTCAGGACGATCAATTCCTGGAAAAGCAGTGACTGCAGGGGTGGTGATGAGTTCAGTGTTCAGTGCTAGTGTTTCCATTGGCATAACACGGCATGTCTAGGGCTTCACAGCCGTGACCGTGGGATCCCTATCACCAGACCAGTTTTGCAACTTGATTTTGGCTGTTTCTCATTGGATAGCCCAGAATATGATTCTTCTCTTCAGTCCTCACATTGATTCTATGAGCTACTTAATATCCTTTTGATGAATTTGTTTTCAGCTTAAAACACCCTGGTTGGGTTTTTGTTACTTGCAGTTCAGAACCCTGATGAATACATGCAAAGGAGACAAATCCTCCCACTTGAGTAGGGTTTCTGCCAGCAAGATGCGCAGGTTAAGGAACACAATTTGCATTTAACAAAGTATGGCAGTGAGTGATAGTGTAGATTGACTAGCGCTATCATGTATTCTGCTTGTTATTAGTCAGGGCTCTCCAGATGTATATATACATATATATGCCACAGTGACTGGCATGATTTTGAAGGCCTAGAAGTCCCACAGTCTGCTGTCTGAAAGCTGGGGACCCAGGAAGCCCGGAGATGTAATTCGGTCCAAATCCAAAGGTCTGAGAACCAGGGGAGCTGATTAAACCTCAGTCTAAAGCCCAGAGAAGACAAGATGAGATGTCCCGCCTCACAGGTAGGAAGCAAAAGGGGTGAATTCGTCCTTTCTCCACCTTCTTCTGTTCTATTCAGACCCTCAGTGGGTTGGCTAAGGCCCACTCACATTGGGGAAGGCAATCTACATTACTGATAACTTTTTCTTTGGTTGTACTTAAATTCCCTCTTTATTTCAACTTTAAATATAATTAAATTGTATTTAATAGCTGATAATAACAATGTCTGTGATTTGGTTGCTTCTACTTGGAATTTGTTTGTTTCCTTGTGTGGTTAGAGACTTAAAAAAATATATAGTGAGTCATGTTACTTGAAACTTTGTGGGAAATCTTTGAGGCCTGGGTTGAATGGTATTCTTCAAGAGATAGTTTAGGTTTTCTTTTCTTCCAAGTGCCCATAGGTCCTAACAACCCAGAGATGCTTTAATTTTCATCTTGGAGTATGTGGGGCTACACAGATAAAGTGAGTATGTCTCTAAGTAAATACATATGAGTGGAGGTATGGGATGGAGAATTCTCAAGAGAGAAATTTTTTTTGTTTGTTTACTGTTTTACTTGACTCTGATCCAAGGCTAAGATGAGACAGGCCCACATCCCCACTGTCCCCCTAGTTTGGCAGATTTTGTTTTGTTTTCAGTTTACCCACTGTCCACTGAGGATATTAGCAATTTGGGGTTTGGAAAGGCTCAGCCTTGTCCCCTTCCATGGCCCATGAAAACACAGGTATTATTAGGTCACCAGGGATCCATCTATGCCCCCGGGGCAAATAGGGCTCTCATAATTGCTAATCCTATGGATTCCTTACGTGCCAGCTAAGGTCAGACATGCATTAAAAAAGATATTCTTTACATTTCATCTACCTTTTTTTTTTAGGTTCTGCTGTACTGGGTTTTCTGTGGGTGATTAGTACGTCTTCATAAACAGACTCTCTTTTTAAATTTTTATATTTCTTTTGGATAAAGAATGCTCAATCTCAGAAGGAAAGCTAATTTTTTTGGGATACTTATATTTTTTCAGTTCATCTAACACATTTAGGAGAGAGCTCAGCACTTGGGAAACGTGCTCTAGTGAATCTGGAATAATACAACGAGTAACTTTGTGCAGCCTAGATTATATTGCTTGCTATTGAGTGTCCCTTGATCTGGGACAGATCACTCTGCACACCCCCAGTGACTCACGTATAGTTTTTCCACCCACGAAGGGTTAGGATTCAGACAGGGAGCTTGCTGGCCAGAAGCCACAGAGACATGACTTGACACCTGCTGGTGGTGAGGGAGCCTTCGCTTGCTAAAGGAGGGAACCTTGTCTATGCTCCCCAGTTCCAAAGTTCAACAAACATTTATTGTTTCATACTTTGTGTCATATTTTGGGCATAAGTGCATGGATACAAAGATGAAACAGAGAAGGTTACTGCTTTTAAAGAACTCATACTATTGGAGCATGTCCTTTAACAGGGAAAAAGAAAAACACACATAATTTAAATATATGATGGTAAATGTTATGATGTGGGCGAAATAATAGGAACTGTATATATTGGTCTCTGCCTCCAGTTCCTGGCACAGAGCTCCTAAAACCCTTGTAAGTTCCCAAGTGATAGGAGCACTAGGATCATCTTTTGTTCTAATGAGGTGACTCTTGAGTGGCTCCTGGGTGGGGGCTGGTCACCAGAAAGACCAAGCCATGATTAGAAGCTTGGAATTTTCAGCCCCCACCCACTACTCCTTAGAGAGGGGAGAGGGGCTAGAAATGGAGTTAATCTTTGATCATGCCTACATGAAGAAGCCCCCATAAAATCCCGACATGACAGGGTTTGGAGAGCTTTCAAGTTAGTGAACACATCCACATATTGGGAGGGTGATGCACCCCAACTCCGTGGGGACAGAAAATCCTGCGCTTGAGACCCTCCCAGACTTGGCCCAATGTATCTCTTCATTTGTATCCTTTATCATATCACTTAATAAACTGGTAAATGTGTTTCCCTGAGTTCCCTCAGCAACTCTAGCAAATTAATCAAACCTCAAGGAGGGAAACATAGGAACCTCTGATGTGTAGTCAAGTTGGACAGAAGTTGTGGGTAACCTGGAGAAACTACTACTTGTGATTGGCATCTGAAGTGGAGGGGCAGTCTTGTGGGACTGGGCCCTTAACGTGTCGGATCGGACACTATTTGCAGGTAGATAGTGTCAGAATTAAGTTAAATTGTAGGACACCCAGCTGGTGTTGCAGAGAACTGTTTGGTGGGGGAACCCCCCTCCCCACATTTGATAACCAAAAGTGTCAGAAGTGAAATTTCTGTGTGGGGAGTGAAGGAGACACAGAGGAGGGAAAGTCTGGGTTTTCCCCCATACCATGTGGTAAGTTTGAGTGCCATGGAGGAAGTTAGTTTACTCTGCATCTCCACACAAGGAACTCTCTTTAGCTCCCAGATTTACTTCTTTTAGTTTCAGCTACAAGCAGAGACAGAGTAGGGTCTTCCTGGTTCTGTGGACTGAATTGCGTCCCCACCCACCCACAATTCAGATGTTTAAGCCCCAACCTCCAATGTAACGAATGGGATTCAGAGATGATGTCTTTGGGACATAATTACGTCATGAGGGGCAAACTCTTCCTTAACTCATTCAGTCCCATCAGTGCTACCCTCTTAACATCTTTTGAATCTCTTCCCCCCTCTCTGCTCTCCTGCCTGGGCCCTGGTTAAGTCCACTTTATCCATTGTCTTGACTCTTGCAGCAGCCTGGCTGGTCGTCTTGCCTCCAATCTCGTCCCCTCAAAACCATTCTTTACATTGTAGGCTCCAACAATCTATTTAAAATGCAATCTGAAATTCTGTCTCCCTTGTTAAAAACCTTTCTGTGACTGTCCCGTCCCCCCTCCAACCCCCCCGGCAGCCAGTGCCTATAGGATAAAATCCAAGTCCTTTAGCAAGGTACACAAAGCCCTACCTGATTTGACTCACCTTGCTCGATTCTGACTTCTAGTAGTTCCTGTCCGAGTCTGTCCAGTTGCCTGGCCTCTCCCGTTGGATTGTGCTGCCCTTTCCCCTAACAACCATGGAGAACTCCTGTTCATTTTTCAAAACCCACCTTGTATGTTATCTCGTCTAAGAGCTTTTCCAGAAGCCTCCCATAGGGAGCAAATCCCTTCTGATCCCTGCTGCCTGAATCTTTGGCCAGCATCGACCAAAGTACTTCATTCTTCCCTTCCTAGTAGAGCATGAGGGCAGGGACCATGTCAATTCTCCTCTTCATCCCCAGGGCCGAGCACAGGTGAGTCATTCTCAAAATGCATTGCACGAATAATCAGAAAGTGGCAGACCTATTTCACCGGGGCCCAAGATCTAACCAGTTTGCTGGAAAGAGCCAGGGGCTTATGACTAAATTCCTGCTGTGCGTCATCAAGTCACCCATCCTGGTGCCCAGTACCAGGCCTGGCTTCCCTCCAGAGCACCACCAGAGGCAGGGTCTTTCCCCAGAGAGCTGAGAAGGGCAGGCAGAAGACCCAGGCATAGAGCAGGAGGGGAGGACTTGGAGGAGGAATGGAGTCCAATTCCAGGGCCACCGAAAAAAGCAGAGAGGCTGTCACAGGCTCCCTGGCTCAGGCCCAGGCAGGCTGAGGGGGAGGACTCATTCATCCAGGGCCAGCCCAGGAGTGAGACTGTGGAGTTGGCTGGCCCGGCCCAGGCCCCGGGTCAGGGCTGGGAGGGGATTTCCTCAGGCTCCTTCTCCCAGTGCAGAGCTGCTGGAAACCTGTCTGACAAATTTAGTTTCGGGAGGGGCCAAGGAGCGCCTGTCAGGGCAGAAAGTCAGGGCAGTAGAGGCAGCCCCTTGGCGGAGGACGCCTGGACGCGGGGAGCAGCCTGGGACGCCCCTTGGCCTACTGAGGAAGGGAGGTAAGCTGCGGGAGCTGGGAGCGGGTGGAGGGAGTCCCTCCGTTGGGGACAAGGGAGCTGGTGGCAGGAAGCATGGGGGCAGAGGTGGGGGCAAGCCGAAGGCGCGGGACTGGTTAGAGAGCTTCCTTGGCAACTTCCCTTCCGGAGTAGCCTTCGGAAGTGGCCGCTTGGGATCTTGCAACTTTTTTTTTTTTTTTAATTTAAATTGGCAACATGTTAAGCCAGGAGTCAAGGGGCCGGTTCTTGGTTTTCTGCAGAGACATGATGGAAGGACCAGGTAACGCTCTTCCCCATCCCTGCCCTGGGCTTCTCCACCTTCATCACATTCTCCCCAGTAACCCTCCCCGCCCCCAACTCCTGCCTCTCAGCGTTTTCCTCCCTTCAGCTGAGCAAGCTCCTAGCGCTCCTGTGTCGCTGGCCCACTGCCCCGTCCAGGGCACTGGAGACCACAGTTAGGGAAGGCAGTCTCTGCTTCCTGCAAGGCACCTCCCCAGGATTATTGGTTTCCTCCTTCCTGGTTATGGGGTATCTGAGGGATTTCACTCATTTATGCGTTTGTTATTATTCATTTATTTATTCATCATTGTTTGAACATGTATCTGGATTCTCTGGGGTGGGGGAACACACAATTTCTGCTCTTCCTGGGAATAAGAAAACTGAAATTTATTTCACAAACATTTAATGATCATCTATAAGCTGGTGGTCAGTGTGGCATAGAGGAAAATTATTTTGGTGTCGCAGAGACACTTGGTTTCATATCCCACCTCTCCTGTTCTCTTCCTGAACCTCAGTTTCCTCACCTGTAAAATGGTATTGTTATGAAGATGACATGAGCCAATGCATGTCACACACCAAGCTGGCACATAGTGGGGCCTCAATAAGCATTGTGCTCTCCCTTTCTTCTTTGGCCCCCTTCCTACCAAGTCCCTCCCTAACTGCCACCTCCCTCTCTCTGTTAGGCTTGTAGAGATATATAAGTCAACCTCTGGCCTTGAAAGCACTTAGGCAGCCTTGTAAACAGAACTGAGCAGTGAAAAGAAGGAGGTCAAGAGGAGGTGGGGGTGGGGCTCAATAGGGAAAGTGTCGCCTGCAGGTTTGAAGTGAGAACACTGGCCCAGGGCTGGAACCTGGAACTTGAGGGAGGTGTTGTCCCCAGCAGGCTCTCCTGCTGTGTTTCTAAATCTGCACATTCACACGGAAAAAGTGATGGGAACTACTAGTTCCTAAAACCAACCCTGCGTTTAAATGCATTACCTTATTTCACCATACCCCTGTTAGGATATTATTATCCCCACTTTACACATGAGGAAATGAAGATACCAACAGGCTAAATGATTTGCCAAAGGTCGTATGGCTAATAAGTTTCTCTGCGTCAGAAGGAACATAAAGGACGTCATCATTTCCCAACTTTCTAGACATCAGCCTCTCACTTCCTGTACATCCCCTGCTCTGGGCTGCTTCACCCAAGTGGAGAAGTGCACACCCCTTCCCTGTTTTGTTAATCCATTTATTCATTTGTACATCATTCATTCAATCAAGTGCTCTATTGGTCCCAGGAGGGCAGCCACAGTGTCTGTTGGTTCATAGTTGTATAACCAGCAACTTGAATGTCCCTGATACAGAAATGTCTGATGACTCCTCTGTGAGTAGATGAGTCCTGCAAACATTTATTAATGCATTCCATAGGCTCCGTGATAGGGATCTGAAGATGAATAAAACAGAAGTCCTATTCTCAGGGTGCTCACAGCCTTGCGGAGGAGATGGTGATAATATAAAGAAGACAATGATTCCCTAGAGAGGAGCAGGCGTTGCTGAGGGAACTAAGAAGGACATTTAATTCTACCATGTCTGCTTTGTTCTCCACTGTATCCAGTGCCTAGCACAATGGCAGGCACGTGGTAGATGCTCAATATGGCTTTGCAGAGAAGATGTTTAGGCAAGTGTCTTGAAGGGGGTGTTAGAGTTTCACCAGGAGAATAAATTGGGGCGGGAAGATCATCTAGTAGAGGGAGATGCTCAGGAAAAGACCTAGTGGAGGGAGGGAGCTGGAATCCTGGGGGCTCAGTATGGCTGAA